CTAATCAATTCCGAATGAAAATCGAATGGGGGAAGGGGGGGGGGCATCCTAGGAACGGAGAGCCCGAAAACTTCATCCTTTATCCATAATTTTGGAATGGGAAGCATCTACCCAAAGAGGAAGCTGACAAGTGGCTTCTTGAAAAACTTGCGCTCGTTTCCAAAGAAGGGTTAATCACGACGCTCCACTCTATCGCAAAGCGCACGATTATACAGAAATGCAATTGTTAGAAGCAGAACTGGGGAATTCCTTTTTTCGACTAGTACAAACCTTGCGGTCCTACTGTCCTTATCGGTTTCCCTTTCATGCCAAGTTTTTTTTGAATATTGTATCGATCTGATGTACGGCCCGAACGCACTTTTATCAGTGAGCTAATGAGGTTGGATTATGACCGATGCCAAAAGATGATGCAAGTGGGTTTACTATATATTGCAAAGGACTTTTCAGTTTGACTTTCATTTTCATTTTCTGAACAAATTTCAATCACGCATTCTAATATTTTTTCAATCCTTTCCTGCTCCTGGAACTGATGTGTGTAAATGGTATTCCGGACCTTGGATTTTGGATAATTTATTTTTCGCAGGTGTTTGCGACATGCGAGAATCGTCGCTTGAATTTCTTCAATAATACACCACTCTTGTGAACCATTTTATTGGACAGCTAAGTGGAACATCAGGTTGGACAATACCCCTCTTACTGATGACCAAATTGTATCGCCCGTTGACGTTTTGACCTATCAGAGAATTCGTTTGTATATGGCATAAATGCAAACCATATCGCTCCGTAAGTTTCTTCTTGAAGGACTCATCAGTCTCTGTTCCTCGATCGTTTTTCATGGACCTAACTGATGAAGCACTTCATGCCTACACTTGTTGACCGAAAAGAATGTCTCCCGCGGGAAGATTGCAGGTGGCGGTAGATGTAGCGGCTATTCGGCCGGGAGAAACATCAATCTGACTGCCTGAACGACTTCCTCCCTTCCAGCCAATTCTACGGCATGCACCCATCACTATAGCGAAGCACACAAAACGTCACAGTACTGAAAACTCAGTGTAGCAGGTGCAATCATTAGAGGGCAGGACGTATTATTGGTGTTCTTCCCCCTCCACCCTCCCCCCCCCCCCCCCCCCCCCCCCCCCNCGGCTTATAAGCACTCTGATCACATTGTATCCTAAAATCTGATTCCGACCGACAAGCGCTTCCTTCCTCATGTAAACTCATTTTTATTTGATTTACGTTCATGCTGCACGAAGTTAGAGGCTATCTACGTCGATAAGTCCACCGGAAATATCCTCTTCAATTCCACACTCGTTCTGTCCTCGAATGATGCGGAAGTATCCTGTAAAATGTTCGGCTATACCAAAATCTCATAAGAAAGTTGAGTGATGAATGCCCCGCGTATCAATTGACTCAATGTCTATGGCACATAGTATGGTCAGCAAATAAGCGCAGTATTCAGCACGGGCGAAATCTAGGTCCAGAATGAAATGAAAAGAGAAAGCAGGAAACCAATTTTCTGAGACACTCGTTCAAAGGGATTCACCTTTCTCTCCCCAGTCGTTATGCCACGAGTTAGCGATGAGCCAGAAGTCGGTGCCATTTTCTGTTCCCCAACCGATCATCTTCACTGCATGGTAGCCTCGCAAGCTGCCAGCGGTATACTGTAACACGAGTTACGAGCACTTTGTTTCTTTCTCTAGAATAATTCATTTCTAAGTTAACTATTCTGATGGGCTAGAATCTTTGTTTCTCTGATCTAGCTGCCGGAGGTTCAAAGCTCGACATTCAGGACTCCTAATGAGGCATGTCTTCAAGGGCGCTTCAGAAAAAAGTCCTACCTTATAGATCCCTGATTTGTAAACTTTAAAATCTTCATAGACTGCAAATGTGGCTACAACAGGGCCATGCTCCAAGATATCCCTTTGGATGGCTCTAATCGATTGTGGAAGGGTATAAGCAGTTTTACCTGAAATCGTATGGTTCGAAGGTTATGTTTGAGTCATAAAAAAGTGCTAGGAGAATCAGACTATTGTTGCGGAAGACCATAACTGGCTTGCTTTCTAAAGAAACTTCGTGGTCTCATGACGAAGCTCGAGGTCGCTAGCAACTTTCGCGTCTAATCGCTACTTTAATTTGAACTTTTTTTCGGTTGTGTTTAGTTGATTACACAGATTCCTCTTTCCTCACAGATTCCTCTTTCAGTTTTTCCACAGAGTCCTCTTGATTTCTGACTCGGATATGTAAGGGGGTTCACGCTTACCGTGTCGTTTGTCCAATCTGTACGGCCTCCTGAATCCAGCTTGACACTTCCTCTTACACGGTGGAGTAGGCGCTGATCTAGGACATTCTCCGTAGTAGGTATCGTTGCCATGATGTCCGCATGGATGAATCGGGTAAGGCCGGCAGCATCTCTGTTGCTCAAGTAGATAAATCATCTCCACAGTTCCTGTTATCATACCTTAGTGCGATAGTCTCCTCCAGAGACGACTCCATCATCTATGAAAAACTTCCAAGCCTCGATAGGCCAGCCTCCATCACATCTGAATCATCATCGTAGTACACTACAGTACAGTATACATGGGCCCTACACTCTCTCTCGAGCCTTTGATTAGCCACGATTGTAAGGATTTACCCGAAACCGCATCTTGAGCAGCATGACAAAATGTCTGTGGCAGAGATATACACCTGGAATGGGCTTTTCAGGTCATCAATGAAGCAATACATCATTGCAAAAGAGTTGGACCTGTTTTTCAGCTTTGGTAGCAATACAAATACGATCCGTTATTGCAGCTGCTGTAGAGACTGCCCAGCATGAGCCTGAAATTAAATGAGGGTCAAGGTGTAATTCTTAAAATTATCAAGTCTCTGTTCAAGTTAACCAAATCTACCTACCGCAGTTTGCTTGGTCTCGAATGGTTAATAAAAAGGTGCAGTTGGCCCATTCTTTTCGAGGATCATAGCTGTAAATCCAATCTGATGACTTTTACTTTATGAGGATGACAAGCGCTATATAAGAGGATGACAGAGAATAAGTCTGTACTACTTTACCCATGCCTTCGATAACCAGTTTCCAGCTCTATTCATCCGCAAAAGCACTCTCGCGCTCCTGTCTTTCCACCTACAACCTAGTCCCATGACTGAATTTTTTGTGATTTTAAGATCTGTGGTATGTTCTGTTAAAGTGTTAGCTTTCAAAGTTCCCAAGAATAACTAGGTTGCAAAGGTCTCAATAGGATCCTGGTATTGAAGATCGACTGTCGAGAACTGCGGTAGTCAAGGGTTAGCGCTAACTAGAACATGAATAAAAAAGATTTCTCATTTCTCAAGCCCCTGTGGTGTCTCAAGTGAAATATGCCATGCAAGGTAACAAACGACAACTGTCTGTGCATTAGATTCTTATCTGGTTGGGTGTACTAAATAAAAAACATCTCATCCGACTACTGAACCTTGACTGATTGAAATTCTTCATACAAAACCGTCAAGAGCCCGTTTGGGACTCATGAAGGTCAAACTTGGTGAAGTTACTATCGATAAATTCAGGCAGCAGAGTGATAAGCATCAAGCAAACGAGCTATCGGTTTGGGCAGACATATACATGTCGATAGCTTATCTTCAAGCACCTAATAAGGGGAATCTGGTACTTGTGTGGACACATCAAGAGATTCAATATAAGCTAATAAATTGATAATTTGGCATGAAAACAGTTATGATATTCTGATGGGTGCAGGATAGCGCAAGAGAAAAGAAACGTTCTGGCCGTCCACACAGTGTGGAATTGATTTTTGGCAAGCATAGTTTCATTCAATCGTTGACTGCATTGTATAGGACATGCTTAATGGGTAGTGAAGATCGTTGTGAGGTCAGGATTGCCCGATGTGCCTTCACAGTTTCGAACTAAACGCATCTAATCAAGTCGGAAAGAACTGATGATTCACTTTTCGGGGATGCCCTCTCCAGTGTCGTTATCATCTTTGACGATAGGGTTCACGTTCTGACTTTTGAATTTTATGTCCATTAATTTGAGCTCGAAATCAGGTGTTGGATCTGAATTGACCTGCAAACAAAGTAGACTCTTTGATACTTTTTTCCTATGACCACCTGAGATTACCTCAAATAGATTCTGATTCTTTCGAAGGTACTCGATAAGTGCTTTACCGCTCAACATCTGCACCTCCGGAGGGATTTGTTGGGCACCTGGAAGTGGAAGAAATGATTTACGGCATTTGCACCCTCATGAGGATAGGTTCCGGGTCAGAATCAGCACTGACCATCTTCAACTGCTCCGGTTGCTCGGCATAGGTAAACGCAGAGTAGGAGCACTAAGTGCCTCTGAAACGTAATTCTTCTCTTCACCCTTACGTAAATCTGTTAAAGTATAAACTAGCTGTAGAAAAAATCAAAAAAACTGCTTCCAAGAAAGGTAATCAAGTAAATGGCTTACCATCATTTGAAACAATTGTGAGGACATCAGCTCTCGTTTATATTGGGTCTATCAGCTATCACAAACCAATTTAATTGTTATTACCACGATAAGAGTGCGAGAAGATTCTGCAGAAAAATGGAATATGTGATTCAGAAGAAGAACTTCATTCAGCAAATTTGCTGGCTTCAGTGTATTGTTCACATTTGACTCTATTACGCTTACGGAGAGCAGACGACAGGAAGGCTACACCTGCGATAAGCGAATGAATTGTTTGTTAAGTTGGTAAGAAAGTCTTGGACAAATTTTTCCAATTTTTAGGTACTTACTTCGAGTCAATCAACGGAAGCAGTTTCAGAATAGTGCATCTTTGATGAAGGAAACTCAAAATCGGTGGAATCTAGAAACATGAAGCTTCAGTAAAGTTGTTGAAGTTGGCGGTGTGATGACGAAAGCTACACGAACCAGTAGCTCGGACGAGATCCTATCCGTGTGTGATTGCACGTAAAGCTGGCCACAGTCAGCTGGAAACTTCAAAGTTCTAGTATCATCACTGAGTGCGTGGGTGTTACTTTATGTCAATTTACTGTTGCCATTTTTTATTTTGCTCTATTTGTTGCTATTCTTTTGTTACGCCACATATTGTTGTTTTCTCTGATCAACTGAATCAATTTTATGCGTGCCTTTCAAGTGTGTCTTTATCCTAAACATTTCAACATCTTGGACCTTACCCTGCTTTTCAGAAAGAAGGGATAAAAAGACTTATCATATCGAGCTGTATACTTTCAGATAGAAATGGTAACTAATTTCATCACTTATTTGTGTATTTATTTATTTATTTAGTAACATGTACAGTCAGTACATGAACACAGCTTACTACAAAAACAAATCATATAAATAATCAAGATCCAAGAGAACCAGGTAGCAAAAGACAGCAGATCAAAGCAAAAGCCAATGAAAGAAAATATTACCTTATGAAACTTCCACTAAGGCAAAAGTAAAAATGAGCCTAACCAGTGTAGCTCTCAGCTATACTGTACTGTAGTGTACTTATGAGTACCTTTCATTGTATTGAAGTGATGTGTCTTCAAACTACCACCCCACTTGGCTCACTTTCAACAATTTCAGGACAATCGTCAAATTGTTGAGTTGGATGGCGATCATGTGGTGATGGTCTAATGTTCAAAAACCACAACTTTCGTGACAGCTAAGGTCGTTCATCAATTTTGACAGACACCGACGAAATGAGGTTAATAAACTGCCCGCTAAGCGCGTCATCAGTGACAGGCTGCAGTGAAAGTTACAGCGCCGAGCTTGTAATGCAGGCTTTGGTTCCCATCATAGCAGGAAAGGAATGATCATTTTCCTGAATATTTCCAAGCAAATACTCACTACGAAGTCATGTACACTGTTAACTTTTCAAGAAGTGATCGTTATGTTGTTATGAAATTCAGCTCAACTGTCATGCTTCCTCTGTTTGGTTTCAAGAGGGACCCCCACGGACCATTTGGGATGTCCACTTCAGTTATTTTCAAGAAGATACCCCACGGACCATTAGGGATGTCTGCTTCAGATGGTTCTATTTACTTGTGGCAGCTCCGTTCTCCACCCGTTTTGTGTAGGAAAGCGCGTACACATCATAACTAACTTCCTGGTGTTATCATTCGTTAGATGGATTCATATTACACCACAGAAACTGCTGGAGCAAATCCAGCCATGCTGTGAAAATCGCGAATGCAACCCAAGAAAAATCTTCACTGACATCTCTTCACTATACGACACTGTTCGGAAGACTACAGCTCATCCGGACGTGGGCAAGATTCTATGAGAAGTTGTGTGAAACCAAGCATTCGTAATGAAAAAAGGAATTTCACGAGTCTGAGAAGCAATCAAAACAATTAAGTCAGTCCCCGGCTGTGAGTAGTCAGGGTTTTATTTCGATCTGAGAACTTGAGATTCGAGTAGTTTCGACCATAAAAATCTCCTATACGGTCAAGTGTTTTCGGTTTAGGTTGATCTGATCGTGCTGTGCACGATTTGCGCAAAACTTACAAAATCGAAATTCGAAGTTATAGTAAACTGAATCTCTTCAGTATAAATACCGAGAGATCAAACCGATACCAAAGTTGTCCCAAGCAACTCCACGAGCTAAGTTGCAGTTATCCTAAATTTTTCCGATAAAGCCCTTCCTTCTGATCCCTTGAGTCCATGAAAGGTTAATCGTAGCTCGAGATCAACGTGGTAAATATATTTCTGTTCAGATGCAACTGATTGTTCTTCTTGCTATTGCTGGGGCTACGTTGGCCGTCTCACCAGCGGGCTATGAGGCTGCCGAAGTGGTGCAACCTGCACCACCTCCAATCTCCGCTGACGATGAAGATCAGCAAGCATATAACAGCGATGGTGCAGCTCAAGCTCCTCCTCCACCAGCACCAGCAGCTCCAGCAGTTCCAGCAGTTCCGCCACCAGCACCAGCACCAGCTGCTCCATCAGTACCAGCAGACCAGGGAGCAGTTCCTCCACCTCCTGTACCAGTACCAGCAACTGGTGGTGACATGGTAGGTCGTAAATTTAATGTATCAAACCCTTTCAATAGGGAAAAGATCGCTGGAGCAGAATAAGAGCGGCCTATTTTCAGGGAATGAGCAGCGGCGGATACCGTCATCGTCTCCATCGTCTTCGTGCTCATCGTCTCCACTAATTGAATAGCAATTGTGGCGACATTTCATGGGTCTCATTTTATAACCGTCGGGTTCAATAAACTATTCTGAACGGTATTAATCTTGGAAAAGCTCTCTAAATCTCGAATGGCGAATCAATTGGCTAACTTTATGGCGAGTGAATGTTGTCCAAATTGTTCCAGTGTGCTCGTTTTGACCCACTTCATCAGTTTTCCATGAGAGAGGTCTTTGGCACTTTCAAGCCTCAGTCCTGTCCGTAGGAACATTTAGAACTCCCAGTCAACAAATTCGATTTCAACTCCAGCGGTGTCCATGACGTCTTCCAGTGACCATTACCAGCGCTTTGTGGATTGCAATGTTTTTTCTTTTATATAGTCTGTTTATATGGTATGACTTCAGATATGAATACTGGGACTGACTTTGCAGGAGAAAGGGCCAGTGTCAAAGCACAAAAATGTATAGTAATGCAGCAATTTCTATATGGATATAGGATTAGCCTCTTCTAGGTTATTCGATGATGTAAAGCTATCATACATGCTTAACCGCCTCTGGAGGAAACATTAACCCAGGGGAAAATCGCGAATGACGACCGATCGAGCGACTAATATTTAGAACTTTTTCCAACACCTTTATAACTAAGGGCTTTTTCTTTTTGAATTCTTGTATACGACCTCGTTGTGGTGAATGCTAAGGCTCACGTCTAAAGGCACAGTTCACGATAGATGTGCTTTCTAAAATTTCTCTCTAGGATGAACTGCGATGCCAGGGATAGCAGAAGAAACGCTTCTTTGTTGAAAACTAGCTCATACAGAGTGTAATGAGAGCACCATTACCAGCTTGACTGATGTACACAACCATGGTCTGACAAGTCCTCAGGCGTTGTAGTGGCTGTAGGGAATGCACCACTCGCACAAGGGATAGCACGCAGGCAGTTTACTGTAGCCAGCTGTACGCAACGGCACACACATTTGGATAGCTCGTCCAAACATCCCTTCCATGCTGCATTTGTCGCCGCATTCGTCCAACCCCTAATTTTACTACTTTTTTCGAATCCATGCATTTCTTATAGGACGCCTAAGTTCGTTTTTCGCCGCTGTGTCTGCACTAGTCTGGACTACCGCTTCATTCACTCATACCACAGAATTATCGTGAACTGTGCCTTCAGCTTTGTTCCTGGACAATAATAAATACCACAATAATACCAATAATCAGATGAGCTTTCCCGACAGAAGAAATTGTTGAGCACTCGTTTGCATGCATGCAGTTTTATTCATTTTACAATCGTTTGACAAGGCTCTAGAGCGTGTCTGTATCGACAAGTCCGGCAGTCACATCGCTTTCAATTCCACACTCATTGGTTCCACGAACAATGCGGAAGAATCCTGCAATATATTCATCAACTGCATCAGAAGATCGTATTTTTGCAAGAAACGGGCCAATGTCAAGTGTATCAATCGCTTCCGTTTCTAAGTATGGCGCATGGCTATTAGTACAAAATGAGCATTGCCTTCATCAGCGTTTTTTTTCAGATAGGATGCACTTGTTTCAGAATAGAGAAGCAGTGAAGCAAAATGCAAGTAACTCACCATCCTCTCCCCAATCTTTGTTCCATGAGTTAGCTATGAGCCAATAGTCTGTACCATTATCCTTTCCCCATCCGATCACTTTTACCGCATGAAGACCGCGACGTTCACCAGCAGTATGCTGTAATTATGCGTTACTGATGTCCAAATGGTTTCTGTAAAAGGAATAACTCCTAGGGACATATTTTTGACGTGCAACATTCGTTGAAAGGACTCGATATGACATGGAAGTTCTAGAAGGGCATATTTCAGTGATGTTCCGAAGGAAGGATTGCCATGTGGTCAGAATTGTAGGCTCATATGCTCAAATCTATACTTTGCAGGAGTTGCATGTATACCATCGTCATGTCCAGGATACATGCCGGCTGATGGAGGAACTTAGTCCCAAAATATGCTCAATGCCTCGAAAGGAATCAGTGGTAAAGCTAGGACGTCATCCGGTAGTTGCGAGCAGGACTTTCGATCCAACTTTATGGGCAGTACGCGAGGGCTACGAAAGTTGAACGGCCCCAGCTGAGGAAGTCAGTTTGGGTTGGGGCTCTGGATGTTGGACCGTTTACTGGGAAGACTCCAGAGCTTCCTGTTTTTATGAAGCACGTGAGCATCTATAACCTATACTTTCGTTAAACGTGCTGGAAAGGAGCGGTGACAGGAAAAATCGGTGGAGGTTTCAAACTATCTTACAATGGAGAAGACAATAAATGGTCCGGCTATAGTCTCGGATTTCTCGATAGGTTGGATCCCACTGTCAAAGGATCAAGGGAGACTTGGCTGTGAGGAAAAACACGAAGGAGACGTACTGAACAATAGCATCCTTGTAAGCACCGCAAGCCAGCCGCCCCGAATACGAAAGGGCGGGTTCTTTCTGGGGCTTGATGATGCTATCAGACCAGTTTCGGGAGGGGCTATCCACCATTAGCAGATGATCTGAATAGGCACATCGGCAGTGAATGGAGGAGCGTAAAAAAGATGCATGGAAACGAGGAACAGGTGTCAGAAGCCAAGAAGGAGACAAAGTCTTCGACTTGGACGCAGTCTACACCTAATGGTCTGAAGCACTTTCTCTTCAAAAAGGAAGGCCCAGAATGTGACCAGTAGTGAAAGTCAATGTGAGGAATATTAAGGTTATAGGAAGCGACGAAGAGGCCCTTCAAAACAGACTTCCCAGAAAGGATCCGGTGATGGGAGCTGATCTTAGCAGGGATATCGACTCTAGCAAGGAATTCTCAGAGAAACCTGGTCTCCTGAACCGGTAGCCTCGATGGGCTTCATGTATCCTCTGAGGCCGGCACTATCCTAGGGTGCATATAGGAAAGGTATACCGGACAGTGGTGAAGCTCACGATTGAATCTAACAGGAGCTGAGCAAGTGCTGCGCCGCAAGTGAAAATCATAAAAGGTGGCTTCACTCGGATGAAACGAGATGCTCAGATGAGGTTCTGGTTAAACGCGATTGAATCGTGTAAGGAGCGAAGTCAGGGCGGACATACAAACAGCGCCTATCAAGCTTAAAGCAAGAGAACAGCGCTTACGATGATATGAGCACATACTATGAGACCATGGAATCACTCGCCTTAAGGAGCAATGAAATTTGAAGCCCAGAGTAAACAACGATAACAAGATCTGAAGAAGGGGTGTTGAGACGCGATCAGGAAGGATCTTGGCGGAAATATGGTATCCGCAAGAGATGCTGAATATAAAGGGAATTGGATACGACTGACAGGAATAGCGGACCCTGCGATAGCGCACGCTCAACGTTAGCGAGGAAGGAAACGAGAGGGTAGTGGTGATTTTCGAAAATTCATTCAGAGTTTCACCTTATAGATTCCTGATTTGTAGTGTCTGAAGTCATCATAGACAGCAAATACGGCTACAACAGGTCCATTTTCCATAATATCTCTCTGAATAGCTTCAACCGAAGACGGTAGTTTGTAAGCAATTTTACCTGAAATTGAATCCGTAATTCAAATAGTGGAAGGGCTTCATCTGAGCGCGTTTTTTGAAAAAGGTGACGATCAGATCATAAGTTGACTATTTTGGCCGAAAGCAGACTACATTTAAAAGCAGAAGATATCGATAATTCTAACGTATCAATTATCAAGCGAATAATGCAAGCGATCGTTCAGAGTAGCGCAAAAACCATATAGGAAACGTGGAAATCGCCATCTTCAGATAAATAGAGGCTTCGAAATGTAGTGAATTTAGGGGTTAGAGTGTAACGACAAAAGTTGCAGGTAAGGGATTTCCGACGAGCTGTCCAAATGTGTTTCATCACTGCGTACAGCTGGATACAATAAGCTCCTTGATTGCAATGTTTGCGTCCCAGTGGCACTTCTGCCCTTTTTACAGCTTCCACAAGGGCGCGAGAAACTAACCTTTATTACCCTTGTTGCATTACCCCACCCGCTTTGAGGATTGTATCATGCGTAGGAAATATGTAGAAGTGCAACAGAACTTCCTGGGCGAGCTGCTTTCTATTTTCTTCTTTGATCTTTGTAGATGTTTCTGGCGCTCGCTGTATATTGCAACTTTTTCGATCATTCGGTATCATCTTTGACGATTTTGTTGTTTTATTCATTTGTACATGAACGGAACAACAAAATCTAGGAATTTACTAGGTTGCTGAGACTCGGTATTTTGGCGGACAAACTATTAAGTTCATTCAAGAAAGCACCAGAAAAGTACTTTACATTCTAAAATTCTTGGTTATGTCCTTCGTTCTTTTTCTCCTTTTTCTTTCACTCTTGTAGCTCCTAGTTAGTTTTAGATTGCCTAGGAACTGTTTCTCTGGTTCGTTACTTCTGGGTTTGTACTTTTCGTTATTCTAGCTTGGATGTTAATCTTTGCAATAAACGATCACTTACAACCCCGGGAACGGTTGCGTTGCCTAGACTGACTATGCACCTTGCTGTGCTCCAATATAACTATACAGATGAGAGATCGATGCACAAATGCAGCAATCTCAAGTTCTCAGGTACTATTAGATGACTGGTGGCTAACGTCAACTCGGCATAAATTCTACTATTATATGCCTTTCCTATATTATTATTTTATTGTATTTTATTCTATTATTGTATGCTACGGCTCGTTGTTCCTAGCTTGGGGTCGCTGAGTTAGGGAAATGTTGCATCCTGGTATACATCACTATGGTACTGCTACTATTGTTGATTTCTTTTTACAAGTATTGTCTGCATTGTTTATTTCTTTCGTCCCCTCATGTTATACCAACACTTTTCTGGGTTGTTTGGGCGCACCAAGAGTGCAATTTAAATAAATAAATAAATAAGTATATGGAACTTTTTCAAACTTCGTTGCTTCTTCATCCTTAATAGTGTTGAGATTTCTAAGCCTACCGTAGCGTTTGTCCGTCCTGTATAAGTTTCTGAAACCAGCTTGACAGGTTCTCCTGCATGGTGGAGTAGGTGCCATTCCATGACATTCGCCAT